CCTGAGGGACGGATTGATATTCTCCCTCCAAATTGGGCGCACAGACCTGTAATAAGGTCAGAGTTTTGGCATGTTATTACTTCTGTCAGTGGAATGCAAGCCTTCCACTGATATTCATCCATTTGATGATTCTGTCATTGTGGTTGAACTCTAGGAGGTCACTAAAACCGGTTTTAGCGTTGATCATACACTGCACTCGTGTAAAATTGCTTCTGCACGGAGAAGTTAAGAATTCCCGAGGTTTTGCTTTCGTTGACGATTGTCCAACTGTATATATTAAGTTCCTTATGGTTTTATAAACTTGCTCCATTGCTTTTCTTCTGAGGACTAATTTTTGACTGTGGACTCCCACTGTCTGTGTCGTTACCATGGTTGATTTATCGATCTTCCTAGTTTTGCCAGTCAGCCAAGGTTTCCTTGTCTGCTTGTACCTCTCGTTGACTTCACGAACGCGATGGCGAATGCTTCGGCAATATGATTTTGGAACTGCTCCTCTTTAGCTTTGTTGCTCTGAATTGTAAGGGGTAGGGTGTTCTTCTTAACTCAAAACTTTTCAGTTATATTCACCCTGGCCCTAATTACGTCTGGCGTCGAGGGAATGATGCCTTTGATATTTTGTAAGCTTCACCGCTATTGCTACTTCTTGACTGTTCACTCAGTCACCAAAATTGTTCTGTGCTTCTTAGGCCGACCGCGCAGTTTTGCTCTGTCAAGATCGAGCGGCTGGTGTGTTTTAAATGGATGACGTTAATGTGATACGTCGATTAATGAATTGCGTCCTTTGCAGTTGACGAAGAAGTGGTCCGGTTGAGTGCTGGGGCTTTTATCAGGAGATGTCGTTGGGTTTGTGAATTCTCGTATGCGGGAATAGTTTTCCTCGGATGATAACACTGTTGTACAAAAGTTTGATGGAGGTAAGTAGTCATAAAATCATCTTTGTCGCTGTCACTTGACAAGTTTGTCACTGTAAAGCGACAGTTGCACTGAACTTCGTTTGTTTAGGATTTTGACCTTCCATCATAAACGTGAATCTTTTTCGACACTCTCAACGGAAATTACGTACAATTTACCTAAGGAGGCTGGATATCCCCACCTGGGCATAATTTTCTATGGCCTGACCATCAAAATATCCGCTCATTCTGTATGTCAAACTTCCCTTTTCCAGTGATGTGAACTTTCATAACCATCAGTACATTGAAGTTTTACCGGTTGGCAGTACAGCAGACATCATCCAACTTACCTTCGCCAGTTAAGGAAAGAAGGTTTCATCATAATACATCCTTTCACCTACCTGTTGTTATGTTGAGAGCTAAGGCAACGGACATTTTGGTTCTGTGTTATCTAGTAAGTTGTGAGCGGGAACCTCTTGCTTCGCATTTCATTTCCGGAAGAGGAATAAATTTCACTAACGCCATACGCTCGGAAAATGTTTCGAAAAACTTGACAGAGAGTACCGCTGACTCTTAGCTACGAATGCCGCCTGACTCTACGCTCAGCATGGAAGTGTATCGTAAACCAGCGTATCAGCGATTTAAGCTTTCCTTTCGGATTCTTCGTTTTTTGTAAATATTGAGAAAACAATATTGACTTAGTGTTGTTTGCACTGCTGAGTGCATTTGTATTTTTTCACTTATGATTTTGTAAAGTGGTTGCAGTAAAAAAATTTAATTTTAGGACTTTACAAAAAGTCTGGAAAACTGGTTTTTCTTGGACTTGATAATGCAGGCAAAACAACACTTTTGCATATGCTTAAAGATGATCGAATGGCCCAACATGTTCCCACTCTTCATCCAAGTAACTTTCCTAATTTTTACCTGGCACCTATTTCATTTCCACTTTTAGCATCCGAAGAACTGTCACTTGGCGGAATGAGGTTTACAACGTTTGACCTTGGTGGTCACATTCAAGGTAAAGATCTATGCT